GCTGCCTGGCGCCCGGCCCCACACAGCCTGCTTGCCCCTCTGGCTGATGCAAACCTCCCACCCAGCTTCATCTTGATCCTGTCTCAGGAACTGCGGACGAGGAACTCCTGTGCCTCCAGCCCCCAGGGTCCGGAGCAGTTAAATGTCCGTGGCGGTGGGGCCCAGTAATCCTGGAGGACCCCTGCTCCCATCTGAGAGAGATGCCGGCTGTTGGACAAGAGAGAAAGTGGAGTTACCCGAGGGCTGCCATTCGGGAGTCCAAAGGGGCATCTGTGTCATCCACAGAGCAGGCGCCTGCCCAAAGAGCTCTCCTGGGTCTGGCAGGGAACTCACTGCCTTTGTAGAAAGTACCTCCCACCCTTGAACAGCCCAAGCTGGACCTCTGTGGCTTCTACTCTTCAAGCCAGGATGTTGGAGAAAAGGAACTGTATCAGTCTTCTGTTGCTGCTCTAACAAATTGCCACCAACTTAGCGGCTTAAAACAGTCTCCAGTTAGCGTCTCAGAGGTCTGTATGTTAGAAGTCCAACCCGGGTCTCACGGAGTTACAGTCACCTGTCAGCACTGCTGCACCCTCTGGGGAAGACATTGGCTGAATTCAGGGCCTTGTGGTTGTAGGACTGAGGTGCCCGTTTCCTTGCTGGCTGTTGGCCAGAGGCCAGTCTTTGCTCCTAGAAGCTGCCAGCTTTCCTTTCCATGAGCATCTGGAGGACTCTCTCTGGGACCTTCGTTTCAGAGGCAGCAAGGCACACCGAGTCCCTCTCACGGCTTCCAAGGTCTCTGACTTCTTCTTCTGCCCGTCTCTCCTTCTTGCAGCCAGAGAAAGGTCTCTGCTTGGTTTTGTTTTTCGTTTGTAATTTTTTTTTATTGTGGTGAAAATATGCACAGCAAAACATTCACCAATTCAACAATTTCCACATGTATGATTCGGTGATGATTATATTCTTCATGTGTTGCACCCATTCTCACTATATTTTCCAAATTATTCCACCAGCATTAACATAAACTCAATGCCCCCTAAGCAAAAGCTTCCCCTTTCTCCCTCTCTCCCACCCCTGGCAACCACTAATAATCTTTGGTTTCTACGTATTTCCTTATTTCATCGAAGTGAAATCATACAGTATTTGTCCTTCTGCATCCGACTCATTTCACTCAGCAGAATGTTTCCAAGGCCTGTCCGTGTCGTGGCATGCATCAGAACTTCATTTCTCTTTACGACCAAGTAGTATTCCATTGTGTGCATCTAGACCCCATTTTGTTGATCCATCCACCTGCTGATGGACATGTTCGTTGTTTCCACCTTTTGGCTATTGTGAAAAGCACTGCAATGAACATTGGTGTACAAGTTTCTGTTTGTGTTCCTGCTTTACTTCCTCTGGGTGTATTCCTAGGACTGGGATTACTGGCTGGCTCTCTGCTTTTTGAAGGGTTCGTGTGATTGGATTGGGCCCACTCAGATCATCAAGGAGAGTCATCCTATTTTAAGGCCTATAACCTAAATGGCATCTGCAAAGTCCTTTGTGCCATGTAACCTAACTTATTCACAAGTTCCAGGGATTCCAGCGTGGGAGGAGGGGCACTCTGCCTACCCTGGGGACAGGCTGATCCTCAAACCCAGGGTTGGACTATCACCTTGCCAGCCTCTTTGGGCCTGTAATTCAGTAATGCCACTGAGCCGAATCTGGGTGTCCAGACAAGGCCTCCCCACTGAGGCCCCTGTTTCTCTGGGAGTGGGGAACCGCTCGTGAGCCTGCACAGTGGCAGGGCTCAGCCCAGGGCAGATGTGACTCTGCCTCCAGCCTCCCCGTTTGCCCCTCATTTCCTCTCACTGTCCACACCCAGGTCTCCTCGCCTGATCATCCTTCAGGGACAAGACTTCTGGGCTCCCAGGTTGCAGGCCAAAGCAGAATGGGGAGGGTGAAGGGAGGAGGCTGCAGGCTGAGGCGGGCCCTCTCAGAGGCCCAGGAGGCCTGGACCTGGCAGCCAAACCCTGTCAGGGACGTGACTGCATCTGCAGAAGACCAGCAGGAGGGCTGAGGAGGCCCCCTCCCCTCCTGAGCCTCTCCCTGCGGCCTGGGCTGAGCTGGTCCATGGCCCGCCTCTGGGTCACGGCCCACCCTTCCCCATGGTGTGTCCCCAGAGCTCACTCATGCTGGGCTGTGTGATCTGAAGCCAGGCACACAGAAAACACACCAGGTCAGCGTCGGGGCATCAGCACAAAACAGAAACAGGCTCCAGCAGCCAAGTGGGCCCAGCTGACTGTATGAGGCCCACGCGAGGTCGCGCTGGGATCACCTGACATCTTGGCCAGAAGGGGCCTCACAGACCAGCCCGGCCCAGGTGACACCCTGTACCACCTCCATCAGAGACCCAGGAGTTTGCCAAACATGCAGAAGCCCAGGCCCCACCCCAGACCTACGGATCTCCAAAGGGGTGGAGTCAAGCACTTGCACGTCAAGGAAGCTCCTCAGTTAATCCTGATACAGTTAAAATTGACACTCACCTTGCTCTCCCATTTTGCAGGAGAGAAGATTGAGGCCCAGACTCACCTGAGGACACACAGCAGTCTAGTGCCAGTCGGGACTAAACCCTTCAGGCCTTCAGTCAATAGTGAAAATCAGGCAGTAGGAGTCTTGGGGGTCCCCCAAGTTCTGAAAACGAGTTACTTCTTTCCAGGCAAAACAGAATCAGTTGCCACTGAGTCAATTCCAACTCATGGTGACCCCGTGTGTTGCATGGTAGAACTGTGCTCCACAAGATTTTCAATGGCTGTGATCTTATGGAAGTAGATTGCCAGGCCTTTCTTCCAAGGCACCTCTAGGTGGGTACGAGCCCCCAACCTTTCAGTTAGTAGCTCAGCGCTTAACCGTTTGCGCCACCCAAGGACCCCTCCTTTCCTGGTACCTCTTAGGTAAATAAAATAGCTCGCACACACCTAGTCTGCAGTGTCTGCCAAATATTCAGAGTGTTGCGCCCAGACATGACTCTGCACGCATCCCTGGGATCAGTAAATGAGTCCCACGGCTCCCTGTTCTCCCTATTATCGCTTGCTTGTTTGTTTTCCCTGGAGAGACCATAATTAAAGCAAGCAGAACACAGAACAAGAATTGATTGCACCGAGGCCAATCTTCCCAGCCTGCCGCGGCCCCACGGCTGCAGCTTCCTTTGTCTGTCCCCGACGCCCACTCTCTGGGGCTGCTTACCCAGAAATCTGTCAGAGTTAATGAAGTTTAGGAAGACAGGTGGCAACGCTGACCTCATTCTCTTGTCTGCAAGCCTCATCTCACCTCCCAACTCCTGCTTGCCTGATGGAAAGTGGTTTCCTCGTTCTCAGCTTCCCAGAGGAAGAAATTCCAGGTCATCTTAGACCCATCTTCATTTACCTTCTAATAAAAAAAAAAAACCAAGCCCGTTGCCGTCGAATCAATTCTGACTCATAGCGAACCTATAGGACAGAGTAGAACTGCCCATAGGGTTTCCAAGGCTGTAATCTTTATGGAAGCACACTGCCACATCTTTCTTCTGTGGAGCGGTGGGTGGGTTCGAACAACCAACCTTTCAGGCAGCAGCCAAGTGCTTAACCACTCCGCCACCAGGAATCTTTTTACCTCATAAAAGATCGAATATATCAGTATTCCTATTGCTTCTTATGTCACGTAGTCTTAAATTCACCTTTTCCTCCAACCCCACTGCCAAGATCCTAGTCTGTCTTTCAAGCCCCAAGCCAGATTATTGGAACACTTGCTTCCAGCCTCTCTCACTTGGGGTCCGTCCTGCATTCGAGGCTACCAGCTATTTTCCCTGAAACACCCATTTACAACGTTGCTCCCTACCAAGGAATCTAACGTGTTCACCAATCCCAAAAAATCCAACCCCTCTGCCTAGAATTCAAGGCTCACCTACTCACCAATGCGCAGCCACGGTGAGGCACACTCTTTGCTGCCTCCTCCTGTACGGCAGTTGTAAGGTTTTTACAACCTAGTGGCTATTATAATCGACTAAGTTCACAGCCTCCTAGGAAATCTGCAGAGTACAAGAAAGGGGGAAAATTCTCAACAAAGCCTTGCTGTGTCACTAATCTTGGCTAAGGGTCTTTCATGGTATAAACCAAAGAGTGCTTCTTTCTGAGACCCTTTGATTCTCAATTCAATAATTTGCTTATTTAACTGAAGTCTGGGATCCTAGTAAACGGCTGTTATACCCAGTGCTGTTGACTCGACTCCACCTCATAGCGAACCTACAGAACAGAGTAGAACTGCCCCATAGGGTTTCCAAGGCTGTAAACCTTTACAAAAGCAG